AGCCTTCATTACAATTAATAACAAGTAAAACAATTTCAATTTACCTTCCACACCATTAAGACCAAAAACACCTCCAGTCCCCATGCTCCTCTGTCCACATAATTGCCATTAAAAACATAATATTGGCTCTTAGATGGTAAGTTAGCAAGTTCAAAGAGGTGAAGTAAGTCGTGATAATGACCATGAATGTCCCCAACTATAACAACTTTTGAAACTTCTCCGTGGCAGTCAATTTCCACACAGTTTGGTTCCTTGTGAAGGATGCTTGCAGCCATATCTAGTATTTCATCTACCACAGAAACTGGCATGACAAGTTGAAACTCTGCAGGCGAGTAATTTCTTGAAGACTGTTCCAGTGTTTTCATCATCTCTACAACCCACTCTAAGGTTAAGCAACCATGTGGTGGCCAACTAACAGTGTGCTTAACATGTGACAGGTCACAATATTCATTCTCGAGCCTAGACTCAGCCACTGCCTGTTCAACTTCAACCATTATAATTTGTGTATCTCCAAGAAGTACATCATCATTGCTGGAGTCAATTGGCTCGACCTCTAGACTCTCTGTTGTCCACATATCATTTGCAATTCCCTATTAATGTAATTTGCATTTTGTATTTAAATATAGAATTTATTTTGAATGAATAGAAGAAAATTTTGCTTCTTATAACCCTACCTGTTCAACAATATGGGAAGGTTCAATCTCCACATCTTTAGCTCCATCAACAATCCCACATAGAAGCTCTTTCAATCTCAATAGCTGTTGCACTTGCTGGCTGTCTAGGTCTTTATATGATATCCTATTCAAAATGTCAACAATATCCTTGCACTTACCTGCCTGCATAATACTTTGTCAATTCATGAATGTTGAACAAAGATCTACATTAAGGCAATTGACCATGCATAACTTACCATCCTGTTGATGTAAAAGCACATAGCACTAATCACATCATTTTTTGTCACCTGCAACACATTAAACAGGCTTTTAACTTCACATCCCATTGCCTTGTCCTAAAAGGAAAATAGTTATTATTCCACCTGAGCATCTTCACTTACCCTTGAATCTCGGTCACTAATAACCCGATGAGAAATTTCCCTCAGCCTCATAAGGGAATATACTTGATGATCATCCAATTTAGAAAATGAGTATAAGTTCGTGGTGTCCACAATTTTCTGACATATATTTTGTATGGTCTCCAATTTATCATCCATATCTACAATGAATTAGGGCATTTTTATGTGACACTATGTTATAGAAAGCCACTAAAAGACTATGCAAGAGTATAATTTGTTGAGATATATAAAGCTTTGTGATATCATGCATGGCATGCCACTTAGCACACTTCTGAATTGGAGAATCTTGTAAAAAGAGAAAAGGAGACGAGTTTTACACGGTCACCAAAAATATTCAAACACTTTGAAGTTTGAAACAGAGTTTCTTGTCACAATATTTTTTTAGTTTTTAAATTTAAATACAATGCACTTCAAGTTTTTATAAGAGAAGCAGCTTAATTTTATTAGAAGAAATAAGAAAATACAATTTTTAACAAGAAACTCAAGTAAAAAGATTAACACTCTGCTTAGTTGGCTTTCCCAAATAGCTATCTGCCCCATAAATTCTGGAGTTGGCAATGGTCTAAGTTCATTCCTCGATCATTTTTATTCCATCCCCTTGACTCAATAGATTTTCATTAAGGGCATTGACGTTTCTGATTCTAAATCCCTGCTCCCAACTGAGGGTACTCAACCTATGAAATTTGTTGCACGAGTCTTGGTGATTGATGTTGCAAATGAGTGACTCAAAAGACGATCTATTTGACATAACTTGTTTCTAGAATGGCGATCTTACTTGATTTAGTGAGTAATGAAGTTTTCAGTTTATGAGGGCTAACAGCAGAGATGCCTATTAACCAGATTCACATTGGCTTCTCTAGAAGCACCTGATGCAGGAAATGCCAGGTTTGTGACAGTTAAGTATTAGTTATTATCAGTCTTCCAAGTTCTGGAAAGTAGTTCGAATGATTGTTGACTTAATAATGTGGTTAGATACGTAGGCTGAAACAGGGTAATTGATGGTTGTCAATATTTGTACAGGTGGCCATATACCTTTTGTAATTCAAAGTCATTTCCCTCTTAGTATAATTCAGTTCCAAAGCACTAACAATATAGTCAGGTTTTTTTTCTACTTTTGAGAGCATAGAAGAGGTGTGGGAGCCACTTATACGGCTGGGAGGGAGATAAATCCACCAGCTGCTAATTATAAACGATGAAACAAACAAGGAATTACGAAGCATAGGGTAATTGAACTCCCTTAACAGCAGAAAATTAATTTTCCAGGAAAGAACGGGGAATACTTCGGACATCAACCTATCAGCTATCAGCATGTGTTATCAAGAGATATCAACCTGCTTACCATAATGAACTACAACATTTTGGATGAACCTACATTTAATGGTTTTCAATGGCAGAATAAACATGGAAGGCATAATCAACTGGTTGAAGAATATTGAAGATCTCTTCAAATACTTCAATTCTGATAGTAAAATGGTTTTGGTTGGTGACATAGAGACTAAGAAGGTGCTTCTACAAGGTGGGAGCATTAACAGGCCTATTTGAGAAGGGTTAGTAAGTACCAGATAAGTTCTTGACAAATAATCTATAATTAATCAAGGAAAGCATTCTCCCCATCAACAGCCCTTCCAGAACACGAGGAAAAAAAATTATACAGCCTATAGAATGAATTTTTTCAAGTAAGGTCGTTTTCCTCTTTGCATAATTCAGTTCTGAATAAAAAAAAAAAAAAAAAACAATAAAGAGACACTTTTCTACTTTCGTGGGCATCAGTTTGGGTGCAAATGTTAACCGAGATAAAAATTAATTCCAAGAACAGGCTTCCGCGTGAGCTGAAGATATTGCTTCATCAGAATTTTCTTAAAAAGTGATCCAACATACATGGTTATTCATGACATACAGACTTAAAGTGGGAATTAGAGTGTAGAATATGAGCATCCCAAACATTCTAACCTACAATGCAGCAATCATATTAAGTATTACAGCTATAAAATAGCAGATCAATGGTGTCCATTCCCTAAAGAAATCTCAAAAGGGAGTGGGAGTTGCAGGATCCGTCCTCCCGAGGGTAAATTGATAACCATACACACAGCCAATTTAGCTGACTGAAGTGTATTTTACAAGCCATGCACACTTGAATGCAGAATACTGACCACACATATGCAGCCATCTACAGTTGAAATAATTACAATGCAAGTGTGCAGGATAGTAGCATGACAAAAATAACACGTTACATAAATTTTGGTGCTAAGAAGATTATGATCAGTTCAAGTTTCAAATAGTTCAATTACTATGAAGTTATGCACAAGGAAAAGAACAAAAGCTAAATGCTACTCACTAAAGACAAGAAATACCTACCAGCCTGAATTACTACATTACATTTACTTTGCAGAGGAAGGATCGGAGAAACTGGTGGTGCAAGTGAAGCAGGCATGTTAGAGAAAACAGGATGTGCCTGGGGAAAAAATTACTCGTAAGTCCTACTACACTGAAAATATGAGGGCACGGTTACTGCAGCAAAACCTAATGTAAAGGCAAATGCAATTCTCAAAACGAAGAAGAACAACATTCCGATCCCGATTTCCAGAAATAACAATTATTCACAAACGCCCACAATTTTGAATTATAATTAAGTGAACATAACTAGAACGTATATCAGTAGAAAAAGACACGCATACACTCAACTCAAGTATTTTAAACCCTACCGCTGTAGAGCATCATAAATCTACAGCAAAGACATACGCAAATGGAAATCGGTTAGCTTCCAAGTATCACAGCTTCTCGCTAGTTTTCACTCCGAGGAAAAATAAAATCAAACATGAATCCAGATAAACACACGCATGGAGCTCCACTGGAGCAACGTATCTAGCTCAGAAAGCCTCCGTTTCCGTGAAACAAGAGCTAGAAAGAAAGCGGAGCTATATCGTTTGCGTTTGAGAGGATTGGAAACAGAGAAAACAAAATGAGATGCATGAAATTTACAAATGGAAAGCGAAACAAGAGAAGAGTATAAGGAAGAAGATACATCTTCGGTATCGTTATCAGAGGATGAGAGGTCAACGCCGTATCTCGTGTCGGAGGGCTTATGGCGGTCGGAGTTGGAGGTGGTGGCTCCGGCGGTGTGCTCGTCGGCAAATTCCATTCTCCCGCCGAACCGCAGGTGAATGAGGGGGTTGATTGGAGACGAGACTACAGAATCAAGAACGCTGACTGAAGCACGGCCGTCATCGATTTGCGTTTGTGGTATTACATGGATGTCCATGGTCCAACTATTAAATTACATTTATGCCACTGCCATTGATATTTCCGTCAGACTTTTGAGTCCGCTCCTTTTGTTTCCATCCTCAACAATAGTTCCCAACGGAATTCCTTTTTTAAAATGCATTTTTCTTTTGAGTATTTTTATAAAAATGTTTTAAAGTGAAAATATTTTTATATTTGATCATATTTTTCCAAATAATTAAAATATTATGATATCAGTAGAATGGTACTGGTGATTTCTAAATACAAATAGTGTTGTTGGTCGCTAGAGGTGGCAACAATTGTCGGAGATGGGATGGTACCTAGTAGTCACTGGTAGTCGTGGTTGCTAAAGTGGATATTAGAAGTAGGCAATGGTTGAAAGTGGGTGGTGGCCGTTGTCATCGATGGTAGCACTAACGTAGCTGACGACGATGTAAAGGAAAGTGAACTTTGGTCATTTTATTATATTATGGAAATTGGATTGAAACTCCAAATTAAACGCGTAAAAAGTTCTTTTTAGCATTCAAATAAAAATTTGTAAATTGAACGTATTAAACTTTAGAATTCTAGTAATGTGTAAAGTGGATTGGGCCATAACATAGGCAGCCGAAAGGCCTAAAATTAAGCTGAAAGAAGCGCGGGCTTCAGTTGTATCTATGCAATAAATGGAAGAGGTGAGCGAATTATATATGTGTTTTGGTCCCATTCTCCCATGTGAGCGTCCCTCGAAGGCCGCATCCGCCCAACCATTAACAACCGCGGCATTTGCCCACCCTTGTGCTATTTGCCTCCGCCTTTTCCCATTGTCCAGCTCCTTGTTTTTAACACGCGCACACACACACATAGTGGTTTTACAGGTTGCGCAGGAATCTCTTGCTCCTCTGCAATTCTCCCTTTTAGGGCAGTGAAGGTTTTTTTCTCTTCGCTGACTGAACTCTCCTCATTCTTAGCTCGAGTGTGGTGGGTATGTTTAATAGATTATTGGTTCAAAAGGAAAAACAAAAGCCTGTAATCACATTTCATGATTGAAGTGTGTGATTCTCAGAAAAACAAAGGGCCGGGCGGGGGGTGGGGGTGTATTTTAATGTTATTGGAGTTATGTTTCTGTCATTTTGGCATAAAAAGTAGGATTGTGTGGATTCTGTAGAAGCTTTTCTTTCTGTATTCTTTATTCAATGATGTAGCTCTGCGTTTCATGCTAGTTTTGGTCAAATTTCATCATATTCTTAATTGCTGCTGAACTGCTGCATCCTGAGAAGTGGGAGGATTTTGAGGCTACTTTTTTTAGAGCTTGCTTGTAAGCTTTCAAGCAACAATTTGAAGATTATTGGTTTTGTTTTGCCTTTGTGAGATGGAAAATTCTGTTTGAAGTATTAAGGAAGTTAAGATGAAATCTCTAAGTAGTGTAGGACTTGGTTTGAGTGTGATTTTTGGGTGCCTTTTCTTGGCGCTTGTTGCTGAGCTATACTACCTGTTATGGTGGAAGAAGAGGTTCACTGACAGAGAAGTTGAAACTGATTACAGTAGCCCAGCTAGAGAGCTATTTTACATGTTTTGTTGGAAAAGCTCATCTTCTTTAACCCGCACAGCTCTGAATCCTCAAGATCTAAGTTCATCAGTTAATATGCACACAAACAATGATTTCTTGCTGAAACCCTTTGGAGAAGATGGGATAGAAACAGAGTTTATGAGGCTCCAAAGCCTCTCAGGGCCACCAAGATTCCTTTTCACCATAATAGAAGAAACCAAGGAAGATTTAGAGTCTGAAGATAAGAATGGAAAGGAATCAAAAAGTAGAAGCTTGAGTGATCTGCTTCTTGCTGTGGAAACTCCATATTTGACTCCTTTAGCTTCTCCAACTCTTTTCACACCTCCTCTTACTCCTGCAGATTCTTATAAGCCCCATGGATTCAACCCTCTCTTTGAATCAGTATCAGATGCAGAGTTTAACAAGATAAGGTCATCTCCTCCTCCAAAGTTCAAATTCCTACAGGAAGCTGAGGAGAAACTCAAGAGGAAATTACAGGAAGAAGCTGAGAAATGTGTTCATAATAACACCATTGAACCTGTTGAAGATTCAAGAACTAAAGCAACCATGCAGAAGCTACTTCAAGATGAGGAGGATAAATCTTATATTACAATTGTCGTTGACAGAAACCAAGATTTGGAGCTGAATCAGTATCATTCAAGCAGTTCTTCACAGGTACTTCCTTTGCCATCTTCACCATCAAATTTCAGTTCATCCATCACCAAAAAGCCAATCTAACCATTATGATTGATTTACCAACCAAAGTCGAAATGGGTTTTTATTTTTATCTTTAAACTTGTAGCTTTTAAAGTGTTTTAAGGGTAAGAGAGTCTGTATTCTAATCTGCCTTAAAAATTTGCTGGACATCATTCTCTGGGAGGTGGGCCTAATGCAAGTGGATGAATGGATTTGTGGGAAGCTTGTTTTATTCAATCTCCATGTCTCCTAAGCTTGTCTGATACCTATAACTCCTCCATGAACTATGAACTATGAACAAATCCACACTACAAAACCATGAAAGAGTGCATCATTTAAATTTGAAGTATCAAAGTTGAAAACTCAATAACTTTCTTTCTTCAACTTTATGTTAAGCCATAGATAGATGGATCGACAAAGGGTTTTGGGTATTTAGCTGTATGTGGCTTGAAAAGGTACCACTCAGAGCAAAGAGACAAAGGTGGAGAAGAGCTGGACAGGTTTTAGATGCCTTTTTCCACTTTTTTTTTTTTTTTTTTTTTTTTTTTTTTTTTTTTTTTTTTTTTTTTTTTTTTTTTTTTTTTTTTTTTTTTT